CTTCCTCTCTGTATAAAAATCAATAAAATATATTTTTTAAAAAAAGAAATTTTTAAAACTTTCCACTGCTTGTATAACTGATACTTCCTTTATTCTTTTGTTATAAGTTAGAACCAATCAGAGAATACCAGAGCCCCTAGGTTAGAGATAAAAAGTGCTTGTTGTCAGGGTTCGGGACTCTCGTGGCTCGCTGCTGTGTCAGTTGGTGAGCCCAGACTCGAGTTCGCAATAAAGGCTTCCTAAATTCCAAATTGGCCGACTGGTGGTCGTCATTCACGGGTCGCCCACAACAGTGAGATCTTTGTTAGGAACAGGTGAGGGTGGCACGGTTGTGTTTGGCATTTAGCTTTCATTAGTTGAAAGGTTTGGAGAAGTCCGAGAGAGAGATGCAGCCAAAATGAGAGCTTGTTGAAGTTTTGAAATATGGGGTATTCGTGGTGGGATCTAAAGGTTCTGTCAATGGACCTTTAGGTGCGTGAGCAAGGACAGTAAAATTGGGGATCCAAATGCAGAAATATCCTAGAAGTTCCAAGGAGAGGTCTTGTTTTAAGGAGGGAGGAGAAAGGGTAACAGCATGGTGTTGGGGAGTTATGGTGAGACCCAAGTAAGTGACCTGAGAAGCTGACTGTAGAATCTTTTTTGAGACTCGGTATCTTCTCTCTGATAAGCAATTGAGGAGAGTAGTAGTATGTTGGCAGTAGCAGGAGCTACAGAGGTGGAGGAAGTCTACATATTGGAGAATGCTGGGGCCAAGATTGAGATTGGGAAGGTCTGACACCAGTGCCTGTCTGAAAAAGTGGGGGCTGTCTCAAAAGCCTTGGGGAAGGCCCTCCATATGAGCTGACAGGATTATTGGGTTGTGGGCTCAGCCCAAGCAAAGGCAGAGATTTTGCATCTGGGTGTACAGGGATGGTACAGAGGCATCCTTCAGGCCCAGCACCATGAAGTGAGAGGTGATGGGCACCTTGAGATGTGTGGGAGGTCAGGATCGATGACCCAAAGATCCTGAACTAGGTGGTAAGAGCTACATGGTTTTTTGATGGGTACAATGGGGTGTTGTGTGTGAAGTTGGTGGGGTACTATGTTTGGGGAGAGATTAGACAGACTGGAGGCCCTTTCTGCTCTTGGGACAGGGGATGTTAATTGGGGAGGCAGGGAGTGGGAGATGGACAAAATGTCTCAGCAGAGGATGGGGGTTGAGCACTTGGGAAAATTAGGAGTGACTAAAGGGATTCCTTATGAGACAATTTAAAGGTGTGGCTAGGGGTTTAGAAAGTAGGCCAACTCCAACAATAGACTTGCAAGCAGGGCTTGTTGTGCTGCGCCAGCACAGCCAAGGGTTCCGTGAGCCTGAGGGAGAGCCAGCGAAAACTGAAGAGAAGACAGATACAGAGAAAGGGCTGGGTCTAGGTGGATCTTCTGTGCCTGGCTGAGACCACAGAACAGATCCAGACTGCAAGCTGAGCTTTTATTTCATAGTCAGAGGTAAGCAAGGTAATTTACAATGTTCTGTGAGTTTCACTTGTTTTGGCAGCACTTGCTGCACCTCCCACAGCCCACTAGCTACCCGGGCAAGATCTAGGGAGTATCACAAGATCAAGTTTAATTATGCTAAGAGGGCTGTGCCCTCTAAGCTGGGACTTGTTTTTGGCTTTGCTGACAAAGGCTTAACCCTATAACTTCTCCCTACAGTTTGTAAATTCTGGTAGGGCGGAATAAGTGGCCTCCATATCATCAGAGATTTTTTACCCGATACCCTGGGGTCCCAACAGTCATTCCTGGCCAAGCCTAGGAGGCTGGGTAAACGGAGGTACGAATGTCCTGGAGGAAGGGATATAGCCCTGCCTTGGGGGGCATGGTAGCAGCTCAGTGGCAGTTTTATCACGGCAGGGACAGAGCCCCAGGAAGAGTGTGGCCTCAGCCATTACATTAGAATGTTTTGGGGACTTTTAACCCTGAGAGAAGAAGCTCGATCTCTCTTTTCCGTACTTTGACCTCCTTCCCTCAGTGGTTAAAGGCTGTTTAAAAGGTCCTTTTGTGGGGTTAATTTCTGTAATTTGCATCTGATGATTGAGATGAAATTCCTGTTTAGAAATGAGTCCTTCCCTAGAACTGGGATCTAGGGTGATACATTTTTTGAGTCCCTAGGCTGAGAGAAAAAGGGCAGGGTTTTCCTCTGGGCCTTGGGCAATGCCTTCGAAATTTTTCATCATTGACTGCCTGTGGGCACTGTGTGTGGAGCCCTAGCAGGAGGCACGTTACCATGTGGGCTCGGAGACAGAGGCCTGGGGAGTCTACATGGTATTCCCGCTTAGGATTCTTTTTGGGGGAGACTTCCTGTCCGACTAGCTGCTGGTTATCTTGCCAATGGAGACCATCGGCATGAGCTGCCAGCCTATTTCTTTAGAAATGTAATGTATAGTGCCCAGCGAGTTCAACAGAGGATGCCTTCAGCCAAAGAATCAAATTATGGAGCGTTTAATTAAAAGCCGGTGGCCAAGAGAGAGCATTAGCTCTCCAAATCTCACAGCCACTGAAAAAGGCACAAACCACATCCCTCACATCAGAATGAGGAGCTATACTGCAAAAGCAGTTTGTATAAAAGCTAAATTGAGCACGGTTAACTATTTCTAAAGGTTATCTATAGTTTGTTTCCAGAGCCAGAGTCAACGGAAAACATTTTTGCGGTTGTTTCTCAGGCACACAAGAATATCTTTTGTAAAACTACAAAGGGGCGGGCAAACAAAATGGAGTGATTTATGCGTTTCCAGGTCTCATTCTGGAAACGGAGGTCAAAGTAACTACCTATTATTTAAGCAAGCAAATGTTTACAGAAGCCAGAGTAGCAGGGTTAAAATTTTAAACAGCAGTTTTTTACCCAAGATGGAGATTCCTATGCTTCATTCCCCACTGGTTCCATGTACATGAGTCAAAGCATTGACTCATTTCCCTCATCTGCACAGGGACTGAACCGGCCCCTGACTACAAGTACTTTGATTCTTTTCTGTATAGCTCTAATAAGTTAATTAATAAGACAAAGTCTGATAGGGCCAGTATCAGAAAGAGGGCCTGTCATGGAGGACAGGAGAGCTGTAAGCCAGGGGGACCAAACATACTTTGGAACAAAGTCCCTGATTGTTTTCTTTTTCTGTCTCTTTCTTCAATGTTCTTTCTTACTACGATAGGCTTTCCAGGATTACTCCCGAATTGTTGGCATAAAAACAGCAAGTCTCCCCTAGAATAAGGTGACCAGACAGCCTGATTTTTAACCCTTTGCACTCCGAACCATTCTGGACATTGGCTACCAGCTACTCGATGCTAACGGCGGAAACGTGCATTGAATTAACTCAATTCCCCGTAATCACTAATAAACTGCAATGTCCCCTGAGAGGGGACGTCCGAGTGATATGCTAGAATTCCGATGTCCCCTGAGAGGGGACAGTGGAGTGCAAAGGGTTAACAATGCCACAGGACAAATTGTTAAAAATCGGGACTGTCCCACCAAAAGCGGGACGTCTGGTCACCTTACCCTAGAGCCATACATAATCCTTGTTTCATGAACAGATCTAAGTCCTCATCTATCTTGCAATACCATTTCTACTAAGGAGTCTACTTGGCGCTGGAGAGGCAACACCAGTTCTTTAAATTTTTAATGAATGACATTTTTCGAACATACCGTAATATACCGTACATTGATACGATAAATGGAAGGTCTCTTCACAAATGGCAATGCCATGAACTTGACCGAGAAACAAGAAATCCAAAAGAGAACATTAACAGTGTACATGTTCTGTACCCAAAGCTACACTGTGTTCTAGTAAAAAGCCTGCTCAGATTGGCCAGTCAGAGAGGCGGTCTATTAAAAAAAGAACTGGTGTTGCCTCGGAAGTGGGCGGTAGTCTTATACAGTGAATATAGGCCTAAACCTATGTTTTAACCGTAAAATTAGGGGGTCGTCTTGTACACCGGAATATACGGTAATGCATAGCCACGTTTCTTGTGCTGTTGTATTACATATTGATAGAAAAGACTTACTTTGCCGTCAAGATCTGCAGGTAATTTTTGTGCAATTTTGGTCTTTTGCCTCAGTACCAGATTGTGCCTTTCCAAGAACCTACTACTCCAGGATACAGTGGCCTTAAATCCTTTGCTGTTATCTGGGTTAGATTTGGCCCACTGAAGTGCAAACATACGTATTTTGTTTCGTGTCACTACATAACCATTTTGACGATGCTCAAGAACCATGTCTGCTACATGCTTTTCGAGTTCTGGCCAATAAGGGGTGCCTCTTCTTAGTGCACACTTACTCCTTGGCATACTCTTTAATGCATCTTCATTTGCTTTCCAGTCTCGGACCATCTTTTCTGTTACTCCATATTGTCTTGCCGCAGCACAGTTATTGTGTTCCTTGGCAAAGTTTATAACTTTCAGTTTGAAACTGGCTTCAAATTTTCTTCTTCTTGCTGGAGCCATGATGGGTTCTTTTCTACTAGCCATTTGTTGTACACCCACTAATCTTTTAGGCCGGGGTTATACAGTACTGTAGCTACAGCTACACACAGAATGTTCTATTGCGGTACCTTTTAACTCACTGTATGTGTCCTGATACAGCAGCTTTGGCTACACAGAACGTTCCTGTGCTGCAACTGTATGTACCCCGGGGAGCCAATCACAACAAGCAAAGGTTCAAAGGTTATAAAGACCACCTCTCTGACTCTGGCCAATCTGAGCAGGCTTTTTACTAGAACACAGTGTAGCTTCGGGTACAGAACATATATAATTTGCATGCATAAAAAGCCTGCTTGGATTGGCTGAGTTAGAGAGGCGGTCCGAGCAGCCTTGCAGTGATTAGTGCAGGATGGAGTTGGAAAATTCGTTTAGCGGCATATCCAGACGATTTCCGGGATCGAGTAGGAAAATTCGTTTAGCGGCATATTGAGACGTTTCTTGGGATATACTCGGCGTATAAGACGACCCCCGATTTTCGGTTGACTTTTTTCCCCCCAAAAGTCGTCTTATACGCCGGAAAATACTGTAAAATTGCTTGCGGGGTCAGCCAGGGGTTGTAAGGTCGTCCTGGAGTCCAGTGTTGACCTGGGGGGAAAAATCTCTCCTTAGTCAGGGAGAGACAGGACACACACTAAGAGGAAAGTGTGGAGAGTCAACTCAGGAGGGGTGAAGACCCTCAAAGAACCTTGATATGTTAGGTCAGGAATCTATTCACACAAAGTTAAAGGAAAAGAAACTCCAAATGTTGTACAGTGTCCAGCAAATCGAAAGAGAATGCCTTCAGCTGAAACCTGTTTGACTCAAAGATCCCGGGTTCGATTCTGGTCAAGGGCATGTACCTTGGTTGCGGGCACATCCCCAGTGGGGGGTGTGCAAGAGGCAGTTGGTCAGTGTTTCTCTCTCATAGACGTTTCTAACTCTGTCCTTCTCAATTCCTGTGTAAAATCAATACGTAAAAAAAAAAAAAAAAAAAAGAGAATGCCTTCAGCCAAAGAATCAAATTATGGAGCATTTAATTAAAAGCCAGTGGCTATGAGAGGGCATCAGCTCTCCAAATCTCACAGCCTCAAGGGAGTACAGCAACAAACTGAAAAAGGCACAAACCACATCCCTAGCAGCAGAATGAGGAACTGTACTGCAAAGGCAGTTTGAACAGAAGCTAAACTGAGCATGGCTAACTACTTCTAAAGGTTATCTGTAGTTTCAGTTTTTACTCCAGATGGAGGTTACTATGCTTCAAGTGGAGTTAAAGATATCAAAATTATTTTGTAAATGTTGTGGAGCCAAAGGTGGTTTTTTGACCTGGAAGAGATGGGACATGGAATAAGGAGTAGGCTCCAGCCTCAGTGTGGGGGCGAATAGGAGGCAACAGATCAATGTTTCTCTTGTTTTGGAAGACTGGAGAAAAACCAAATGCTTAAGAAATGGAGTTACACAGCTTTATCACTCTGGTGAACTCAGAGGAGTACCTCTCAGTGTTTGAGCAAATCTGGTGGAAGCTTTTCCTTTATACCCTTTCAGCTTCTTTGTCCCACAAAAATGGATGGGGCTTCTGGACCTTTCGGGGGCTTTGCAAAAAGCCTGTGTGGGGATAGGGGTCGTGAAACCATATGTAAGGGCATGAAATGGTGCCAGCACTGACAGGCCTCTCGGGGGTTATGGTTTTATGGCCTTTCTAACATGTGAGCAAACAGGCAACAAATCTTGCTAGCTCAGACTATAGGAAAAGGGGCAATAGGTTATATTTTCCCATCTGGGTTAATTTGTTTCACTTGAGGAAACCAGCTGTTATAGAATTAGCCTTCTCACTCTCATCGATGATTTATCTTTTTATCCCTCTCTCACATCAATAAAAACATTCAAGAAATCAACTATGGCCAAAACCGGTTTGGCTCAGTGGATAGATTGTCAGCCTACGGACTGAAAGGTCCGATTCAATTCTGGCCAACAGCATATACCTTGGTTGTGGGCACATCCCCAGTAGGGGGTGTGCAAGAGGCAGCTGACGGATGTTTCTCTCTCATTGATGTTTATAACTCTCTATCCCTCTCTGTAAAAGTCAATGATATACAGTATTAAAAAAAAAAGAAAAAAAAGAAATCAACTATGGCAAAAGGCACACAAAACCTATTTTTGGAGGTCGGTAGTCTCAGCAGGTGGCAAGTTTTACGTTTCATTTTCATGCCTCTACCCCTTCCCAAGGTCGCCCAGGATTGAGCCAGTCCTCCCATGGAGTCCCCTTTGGTGTGAAAATAAAGACTCTTGCACCCCAATTAACTCATACCACTTTTGCTTTATTGCTAAGCACTTCGGGTAGATACGGACCGTTAGGTTAAGTCACAAAATGGCATCCGCCTGTCTAGGTTATATCTTCGAATGAAAAGATCATTTGATTCTCACAGGTTTATTCCACCTTTACTTACCACCAGGTCCCTGAACTGATTGATGTTGATTTACATTCAAAGTCTCCAACCAGGCCACCGATGGCACTGAAAGACAAAGAGTGTGACATTTAGACAGAAGCCCACTCAACCCCATGTGCTTTCACCCCCAGACCCACCCGCCAATGGCGAGCGGGGGCCCGAAGCCTCAGTCTTGCAAAATAATCAGACTGCACGTGCAGTTTTCATACGAGGTGTCAGAAATTAAAGCAATTCATCATAGGCTTCAGGCGGCATTGGGAAATCCAGGTCTGGCCCAGTCTTACCTTGTAGGGAGCCGTAGGTCCTGAGGTCCCGACTTCTCTGCCGGAACTGGGGAGGGGAGCAGGGAAGGAATTCGCTACAATGCCGAGGGCCACAGAGGCGCTCAGGCCGCGGCTGGCCCCCGGGCTGGGCGACCCCCGCAGCTTCGCAGCTTCACTGGGTGCTCAATTCCTCTCCAAGCGTAGCACACAGAGAACACTCCGCCCAGCATTGAAATTTATCCGGAAAGAAAGAGAAAGGCTGAGGTTCAACCTTTTATAGAAACTGCCCCACCTCAGCGATTGGCCAATCCAAGCGGAAGTACCCTCCTTCACCCCCGCTGTTGATAGGCTCCGCTCTCTACTTGTTTCCCCCAATAGCGCCATAGCATTTCTTTTTGGGGAGCGATCCTCCCATTTGAAGAGATTAAACCTGTGAGTGACTGGTGCAACGATCCAATCAGACTCCTACCTGATACATAGAATGATTCTGAAGTTGCCAATCCCGCGCCATCTGAGTCGCCGGAAGTCGTAGTTTCTGAAGAGTCGCTCCGGAGGCGTCTGCGCGGGCCGGGAGCGAGCCGGAGAACTACAACTCCCTACGTGCTCTGCGCTGAGCACTTCCGGCTCGCGCGCCCAGTCCCTTTCCCAGCCGGCGGCCGCGGGGGCACGATGAAGAGGGCGGGTGGCGCTGCCACTCCCGGGCGGCGGCGGCGGGCGGGTGAGTGTCCCCGCGGCGCGGCCGGCCGGGGGGCTCACGCCCCGGAGCCGCGCGGTGGGGCGGGGGCAGGTGCTTGGGGTCGGCGAAGGGTTGAGCCTTGGGGGGCGGGGCTGAGAGGAAAAGGGGTTTCCGCTCCGATCCCTTTCTTTGACTGTCAGCTGGCCCGTCGCGCGCTCCATTCTTTTTCCCCCTCTTCCTCTTTATTCATCCCTTCTTCCTGCATTTATTGAGCGCCGCCGGTGTGCCCGGCACTGGGGTAGGCGCCGGAAGATCATGGAGAGCGTGATCGCGGTTCTCATAGGCTCTTCTGGTGTAGGATGGATTGCTCACCCCCGTCACTGTGGACACTCAGCGCCAACCCTCCTCTGCTGTGCCTTTTAGAATGTTGAGCCACATCCCTGGTCTCAACCCGGTGGATGCCAGTAACCTTTCCCAGCCCCGCTGTGACAACCAGAAACGTCTCCAGATGTTGTCAAACATCTCCTGGGGGGACAAAAATCCCCCCCCCCCCACTTGACAACCGGTGATCTAGACAGGGTGTAGGGCTGATAATGTACAGACACATTCACGAAGAATGGGGTAGGTGCTGTGGACGAAGCAGGGCGCTGAGAGAGGACTGAAGGCTCCGGAAAGGTTTGGGGTGGGTTGGTGGACTTATAGAAAGCGGACTGTCCCGGAAGTTGCTTGAAGAGCATGCCAGGCAGAGGGAGCAAGATGTGCTGGAGGACCTGCCTCCAGGCAAGGCTTGGTCCCTAGTGGGGACTTGCATGTGGCCACCCCACTGCCCGTGACTTCAGCATGGCCAGCCTGGGCCTCCCCACTCCCCTGGCTACTATCACAGGATCCAAGTGGGCGGGAACTCCAGCGACACCCGATCCACAGGCCCCCTGAGGGTAAGTGGAGGCAGCAGATCATGGGCTCTCTCCAGGGGGTGGGCTGGGGGGTGGGCAGCCTCCCATGCAGGCTGCTCAGCGAAGGGGTCTGGTGGGGGCTCGCCTAAAGAGGGGCTAGAGCACTGCAGGTGGCTCTGGTTTCTTATGTCCATATCTAAGGGACTCCCAGGCCCTCCAATCCCCACAGGGTCCGGGAGCCCCTTGGATATGGACACGGGTAGACCAAGATCCCTGGGCCCCTCCCCTGGGCTACCCTGCGGTCTCTCGAAACAGGCAGGGTGGAGGCTTGGAGGGAGCTGAGGGGAGGAAAGCCTTTCTCCCCATCTGCACCCTCACCCAGGTTTCCCTAGCCTGCTCAGCCCAAGGCTTTTCCCAGTTTGGCAGAGACCAGGCCTTCAGGCAGGTGAGGATTCTTGCTCTAGATACCGCTTTCTGACTGCCTGGGAGCCTCAGGCCGACTATGGGGTGGGGGAGAGTCTGCTGCCCTGGGATGGCCTTGGGGGTGGCGTAGAGCACATCCCTGGGACAGCTGGGCCCAGCATTCCCTGAGCTGGGGTTGGGGCCTGCAGGGCCGGAAGACACCATAAGGGGAAGACTGCTATTGCAAAACGCAGCCCCCGGGGACCGGCCTGAGAGCATCTTGCTCAATTCTGAGATGTTTCAGGGCTGGGTGGGGCGTACTGACGAGGGGCGCTGGACTGCAGCACGGGTCCCCCACCCCAGTCCCTGGCCGGGGCTGTGTGCTGAACCCGTGTGAACCCGGAAATGGCTCCCTCCCTCCTTCCCTGGCTCAGCTTGCCTGGTGGGCCAGTCTTGCAGGCCCCTCACCGGGCTGCGTGTCAGGGCTGTGGGCCTGGCCGCTGGCCTCCCGGGACTTTCCCATGAGCCCCGCATGCCTTTCTGTTTACTTCATTTTATAGTGAGGGACCGCCAGCCGCCTGCTCTCCCAGACTGCACTTGGGCAGGCTGGACCCATAGGGGCTGGTGGGCTGGCCGTGGTCCCAGGGGGAATGCCTGCTGGTGCCCTGGTCCCAGGCCTCAGGCACCGCTCACCGGAGCCATCAGCTGGCCTCAGCCCTGGGAGCTTGCAGTGGAGGGAACAGATGGATTGTAAATGCAGGTCGGTTCAGCTGGTGACCTCCCTGTGAGTCCACCCTCCTCCCTGCCCTTTGGCGCTGAGACATAAGCGAACCTTGGGCTTCCTGAGAAGGCGGAGCCTCTCCACCGGCTGTGGAGTCCTGGAGCTCCTGCTCTGAGCTCTCTGGGCCTCACCCTTACACAAAGCAGGGTGGCCCTCAGAACTTCCTTCTTCGTGTGGAGACCAGCAGCAGTGCTGAGGCGAGGCTCCCGGACAGCCTCGCACTGCCCACTCTCAGGAGACTCTGCCTTTCTCCCAGAGGACGGACACAGAGTCAAACCCCTCAAGTCACAGCAGTTGGGGGGCTTTGGCCAAACTCCCTATCTAACTGGACCCAAAGGGCAATCGGGTAGTGCCTGGTGCCAATGCCAACTGTAGGGTCTGGGAGCCTTCCCGATGAGGACTGAGGCACGAAGGCTGGGAGGCTGGCATTGCAGGCGGCATTTGAAAGGGCAGATGGGGAGAGAGGGACAAGGAGAGAGCAGGGGTGGCAGGTTGCTCATGAGCACAGTGTGAGGACACAGGGCTCAGGACCCAGCCCTCTCCCTGCAGACCTGAAGGCTGGCTTGAGACCCACTGGGTGGACCCTAGGTCCCATGCATCGCCGTGGTGTGTAGGGAGGGAGACATTGTCAGGAGGGCCCGCTGGAGAAAATGGCAGAACCAGCTGGACTGTGCAGTTGCCCTCCTGGCTGTACTCCCCTCAGAGGGGGCAGAGAGTGTCTCCCACCCGGAGCCCTGCTTAGTCCTGTGGGGCTTCGAGAGCACAGAGTGGGTCCTCCCAACTCCCACAGCACCTCTAGGAGCAAAGTGAGCCGCCCTCCCGTGGGGAGCGCAGCTTCAGGCCCCGTGGCTCAGCACCACCGACTATCCCGGCAGGGGCAGGGGGGCTGTGGGTCGTGGCCGTAGGAAGGGCCCCTGCTGATGGGGCCGTCGCCAGGAGAGCAGCTCTTCCGCTGTCATCGGTGTCTACTCTCCCCGCTTCCGCCCACACCGGCCTGGCCAGGGCTCCGGGGCCCCTCTGGTCCCTCTTCCGGGGGCGGAACCGTTGGAGCCCAGGGATGGCTCACACTTCGCCTTCTCCCTGCCATCAACCCTTGAGATCGGAGCCACACAATTGGGGGGCGAGAGGGTGTCCTCTGTTTCCAGGGTGGGGGACCTGCACGCAGTGAAGAGGGCTCTCCTCTCTCTGGGTCCCTCCCCGCCCCTGCCCAGCGGGGCTTTCTTTCTGGGATGAGGCTTGTGAGGAGCTGGGCTCCGGGTACATCATCCAGTGGGCTCTCTGGCGCATGGCCAGTGTCTGCCATGGTGGCAGGAGATCGGCGTGTAACCTGGCCACTCTGCGAGCCCAGCCTTGGCCCCAGGGACATTTGGCCCTCAGACCCGAGGAGCAGACGGAGCATGGGTGGGGGGCTCTCCGCCTCCGGGTTGAATCTGGGTGGGCATTTCCGAAGGGTTAAGCCTTAAAGCACATGTGTCAAACACAAGGCCCGCGGGCCAAATCCGTCCCGCCAGGCCTTGCAATGTGGCCCGCACCGCGCTGTCATCACTGCACTCCGCTGCGTTTCCATCACAATGACAGTTTATGACTGTTCAGTAAACCATTCGGCCCGCGATTTAGGCTGGATTTTAGATTTTGGCCCCTTCTCTGATTGAGTTCGACACCCCTACCTTAAAGGAAAGTAAAACTGAGTGCCAGTTGCCTGCCTGCGCCCAGGGCCTCCCTCCCTCGGGCCTGTCACACCTGGGACGGGCGGGCGGGAAGGAGCTGCCGGAATGGACTGCCCTTGTTGGCGTTGGCGATGGAGAAAGGCGGAGGCGCGGTGGGCCGGTCAGAGCAGGCTGCTGTGCGGAGCAGGCCTGGCCAGCTGACGGGCGTCCGGCCGCCCTCTCTCAGGCCCCTCTGTGCTCCTCACGCAGGAGGCGCTGCCGGAGGGCCCTACGTGCCTCTCTAGAGCATGAGCTCGGGCAACGGCGCCTGGTTTAACCGCTTCTCGGGGGGACCTGCCAGCCTTCCCGCCCCGGACGCCACCGCCGGGGTAAGGGACTCCCCGTGAGTCAGCGTCTGCTCCCTCCGTGAGGTCCCGTGGGCGGGCTGGGGATGTGTGTGCGGGTGGTGTGTCTGTGATGTGCACACAGGGTGTGTGAGTGTGAAAGCGTGTCACTGCATGTCCGCCCGTGTCCATGTTCTCCCTGGAGCCAACCAGTCTCATCAGTTCTCTTTCCAGACCAGAATGGAAACGACCTTCGGGCCCGCCTTTTCAGCTGTCACCACGATCACCAAAGGTGAGCCTGTGAGCCAGGCCAGCCCGGCGGGGCAGAATCTGGGCACCCTGTGGTGGGGTGGGGTGTTCAGCTGCCCCCTCCCCCGGCAGGAGTCAGATGTTTTGCTCCCTGTGGCTCTGTTCTGGCTGTGGTGCCCTCCCCCGCCTCCCCTTGCTCCTCCTTTCTGGTGCCTTGCTCACCACCTCTCTAGGGAGGGCTGTCCCAGCTTCCCCGGCACCCCATGCTCACCTGCCCTGTCGGTGACCCCGCTCATGCCTGCCCCGAGCTCCCAGCAGGCGCGGGTAGGGGACAAGAAGTGCTCCTGGGTCCTTCCTCAGGTCCGATCCACAGTGAGTGTGTCCAAGGAGGTCGTGGCACATGAGGGTACAGCTTCCTTCCCAGTCACGAGGGTGGCGGGCCCCTC